CACAATACCATTATAATACCATTAGACACTTATTCCCTCTTACTCCCTTATTACTTTAGTACTTGGCCACAATATCATTATAATACCATTAGACTCTTATTCCCTTTAACTCGTTTATACTAATTTAGCTGAAAGCAGCAAGTGACCCCAAAAGAATAATTGTGCAACTAGTGTAAACATTTAAAAATTGCAAGCAAGCAACACAAAATGGATTAAACATTCAAAGATTTTAGTACTTTTTGCTCCTAGGAATAAGAGAAAAAAATGAAAAGCGTTGTCCTATTTCAGGCATGGTATACTCAGTTCCGAAATATCATCAACTCGAACAGACTTGACCATGTAACTCAGTTGGCAGAGCATTGAATGGCTAGTATCCCGAAGGCCGCAGGTTCGATTCCCACCGTGGCCAAACTAACTTTTCAGCTTGCCCGGTGTGGATGCACACTCAGAGTAACATCACAAACATCAATCAATAATTTGCTGCTGTTATATATCAACCTTATATATTTTTTTCTTACTAGGGATTGTCATTAATATATGGATTTAACAAAAGCTTCCCAGGAGAAGGCAAGTTGTCTAAACAAGTGGTATTATATATGTAATCATTAATGGCATTCTAAGAACTTACCAAACCATGCAAGGGATGGAGTTGCCGACTTGTGGTATACAGCTTGTTTTGTACTAATTTTTTACTAATGGACTTGCTTGACATGTTTGATTTAGAAGTGACACTACATACATTTAATACATGCAGTATATTTTACTTGTAAATATTCTACATTGAACAGAATATTAACCCTTTAAGTGGCAATTTGCTTTACTTTTTTATTTTTTCTGTCTAATGTGGTCAGACAATTTTTGCTCATTAAGGAGAGAGTGCTGCCACTTAATGGGTTAAAGCTTTTCTGTAAATGTAAATTTTTTAATGATAACTATGTAATAGCCGGTACTGTGCTGGGAATGGAACCTTCTGCCCTACAGGTGATTCTGATCAGCTTTTTAACCGTCATTAAGGGTCCTGAAGCCCTAAGAGTCCATCGCCCTGAGAGTCAATCAAGCTCCACTGTAACCAAGAGTTCATGTATATAATACTAGTGTCATCCTGGGCAGTTTATTTAATACACTACCAATGACACCACCATGGTATATATATATACAGCAACTTGTGGTTACCTCTTGGCAAAAGGGCTCTTTAGGTCAGAGGGCTGCGGTAGAATTGCAGGGCTGCAGGTTCAATTCATGCTGACAGGCTTGTAATTGTATTCCACATGTATTCATGATATCATTCTAATCATGTATTCATGATATCATTCTAATCAATTTAGAACTTCACTAAAATATTATAGGGCGTAAGAGTATATCATTATATTATGCTACAGCAAATTGTATTTCCTGCTATAATATACCTTAATTACTTGCAGGGATAATAAATTATTTTGACTCGAAAAATGTCTTTATTGATTTCTAAAGTTAGTTAAAGACTTTTCTTTACTCCGATATATAGAAGTCATTTTGTCTCCAAAGGAGTCGAATTGACTCCAAAAGTGGAGTAAATAAAAAAGGTACAGAACGACTCCTTTTTTGGAGTAAATTTTACTCCTTTATTTACTCCATTTTTGGTGTAAATTTTACTCCTTAAGCAGAGTTGTTTTTACTCTTTGAGGAGTAAAAACAACTCTACTTATGGAGTAAAATTTACTCCAAAAATGGAGTAAATAAAGGAGTAAAATTTACTCCAAAAAAGGAGTCGTTCTGTACCTTTTTTATTTACTCCACTTTTGGAGTCAATTTGACTCCTCGAAATTAACAGTAATTTTGACAGTTTCTTGAAACCTTTTGCTCCTCTGTGTCAGAACGTCTTGTAGCCCCCTCCTATATTATTTTACCAGCCTCCCTCCAACATAATTGATGAAGATGTATATATATATATATATATATATATATATATATATATATATATATATATATATATATATATATATATATATATATATATATATATATATATAGTTATACTCAGAACATTCATAACTCGTCTACTCGTTCACATATATCAAAACCAGAAGCAGAAGGAGATTGAATTGAAGCAAAAGTTGCAAGTGTGAACGGGTCGGCGGACAACTTTAGAAAGTTCGAAAAGACATGTCCGGTGAAAAGCACTATCTGAATCGCCTTCATACAACCAATTTCTGAACTAGCATAGCGAGCCACGCTACTAACATCCAGACGATTGTCGAAGTAGTTTTTAACATCAGGACAGGTAGTCAGTCAATCAACCAACCATATTAAAATTGCCCATCGCTACTTCCACGAGAAACAAAACTCAAGATATTAATCATATATTGATCATATACGTATGGATATTTGCGCAATATGAAGAACAAACAACGAAGAACGAAGAACAAATTATTATTATTATTATTGTACACTCACTTTCTTCTTTCTCACAGATATATTTTCTATATGTGTAGCAATAGTGGTCATTCCAAAGTCCAGCTAGTCTGCCTCCAAACATTTCAACGCATCTCTCGGTACCAATGCCATTGGGTTCGCCGGCATTCCAATTCGTATACTGAGGAGAACTACTGTCAGATTCCCATTTCCAAGTTCCGTTGCCTCGTGGATCGTTAAGACCGATCCAAAACCGCTAAAATATCACACAAGGAATTTCAGCAAGTGTATAGGAAAATTTAATTAGTTAAACCTTTTAAAATATAAGGCATGTGCCTAATTTTCAAATTTTAAATAAACCAGGCAAATTAATTAAATTAAGATTATTATTATTCGGCATTGCATGCTACTTATTGTATCAGATCTGTTGTGTATTTAGCTACAAATGTTCCTTCCTGAGGTTTAGAAAATTGGAACTAATCTAAAATTGACTGATATTTTACTAAAATTATTAAATCATTTTTAACTAAATAACAGACAATCTGTTTACCGAATGCCATAAATTCCAAATTTGTTTGTAGAAGTAACTCTGTTCAGCTTGATCATCAATTTTTAACAAATGACCACCAAGATCTCCACAATCTCTCTTAGCTGCAAGCCACTGTCTTTTGACATCTGATGTTTTGTAGCAAGATTTCCTGAATGGTTTCCATCCCAAATCACACACTACTTCAGCTGTAGAAGAAAGTAAAATGCAATTAATTGTGCAATATATTATCATTGTTTAATTTGAAGAGTCCTTAATTTCTTGTTGACTAATAGCCATTCGTATTTTTGCACAAGTGAACATAACAAATCCTACAAGTTGATTGGTCAAATTTGACGTATTAAGCTGTTATATTCACCTACAGGTGAATATAACAAAACCGAATTTTTCAAAATGGCGGCTAGCCATTTTGTGAAAGTTACTGATAAAGAATAAGCGAAATTAAGATAAATTCAGTCCAAAAAAACACAAAAGACTTGTGTAAAAATACTAAAACAATTATTCGCCTCAGGCTCGGTGATTATCGGGGAATATTCACCTCGACTTCGTCTTGGCGAATATTCGGCCTGTTCACTAATAGTGCTGCAGTGTTTCTTGTACGCACACAATTTCAAAATGGCTTCTTGTGTGACTTTATTGCTTTATTACAAAGTTGTTTTTCTCGATTTCTGCTTGGAATATAAACACAATAACGGAATGACTCTTTCACCAGACTTTTCACCGAATTAAAAATAGTTTCTGTTTAGCATTAATTTCTTCAGGAAATGGCTGAGGAATTTGCACATTCTTTTTGAAAAGCATTATTTACTACCCAGGTGGTAAATAATGCCTCAGATTTACTAGTCAATCAGAACGCGCGAAAGCTCATTTGATATGCAAAATTTATACTAATCCCCGATAATCACCTCGCCTTCGGCGAATAATTGTTAATTAGTATAATTACATAGGTGATTATTGAAAATTCTCCACGCTGATTGGTTGCCGTTGAGGTGGTTTAACGCGATAATCACCTAAGCGATTTTCAAAATGGCGGCCGAAGCCGTTTTGTCAATTAAACGACGAAGAAATGTGTATTTTTTATTTTTTTCCAAATAATCACCTATGAAAATATATTAAAACTAGAGGGCACTCAGAGACTGCATACCTCCGCCACCATTGAATTTCGATCGTGTGAATTGCAACTAAGACAATAGATAATGAAGGTTGCAGCTTAATGAGGTTTGTCATCTCATTATTGTTGTCTCATTGTCTTAGTACGGCGTGGATACATTATACACGTCCTAATTACGCATTCAGTGAGTTTTTTTTAATTGACCGGGAAAAGCAAGACAAAATTTTGTTCATTTCTCGTTCAATTTTTAACCAAATTCAATCAAATTTTAATCAGTTCTTCCTTAGCCGATGGGAAATGCATTAAAAAAATTTCGTACGAATATGTTTGGTATTTCTTGAGTTATCGTGCTCACAGACAAACACACACACACACATACACACACACACATACACACATACAAACCCAGATGATTACATAACCTCCTGGCGGAGGTAACAAACCCAGATGATTACATAACCTCCTGGCGGAGGTAACAATAATATCATAGTTGCCTCGAAATCCTTTGTCTCGCGAGGTACGATTGATCACTAATTTACCTCATTACTAAAACATGTAGTAAAACTAGAGGGCACTCGGAGACTGCATACCTCCGCCCGTTACTCGGAAGTGAAACGCAACCTTGGAATTTCCTAAGAAATCCACTTTATAATTCTTAAGCATAAAAGATTTCAGGCCCCCGCGAATTGATATCGAATTGCTAATAGAACATATTATTGTTGTTGTACTGTACAGTACAGTACTTGTAAAATAAAAACTTATTAAGTGTCATTAAATAAATGCATAAATTTTGCTTGATGCACTCGCGCGTGCAGTAATTTTCACAGTTGTGCTATTTTAAATTCCCAGGCAGCTAAAATCTTTTGTCTTTAAAACAATGTCGATTTCTTGGGAAATTCCGAGGTTGCGTTCTTTTTATACACCCTGTATTGAAGTAATCTAATGTTGTTAGAATTTGAATGGACTGGCACTTTGCTGAACGTAATAATGCGTAACTCCGTAAGCCTTGTTTTAGACATTGAATTTCGGTCGCGTGAAATGCAACTAAGACAATAGATAATGAAGGCCGAAGCTTAATGAGGTTTATCATCTCATTATTGTCTTAGCACTGAGTGCATAAATTATATACGTCCTAATTACGCATTTAGTAATATTTTTTGTTAATTGACCGGGAAAAGCAAGACAAAATTTTGTTCATTTCTCGTTCAATTTTTAACCAAATTCAACCAAATTTTAATCAGTTCTTCCTTAGCGGATGGGAAATGCATTCAAAAAATTTCGTACGGATATGTTTGGTATTTCTTGAGTTATCGTGCTCACAGACAAACACACACACATACACACACACACACACATACACATACACACAAACCCAGATGATTACATAACCTCCTGGCGGAGGTAATAAAATTAGAACTAATTTTACCACGGGCAAAATTAGAACTAATTTGTAAAATGAGGTAAAATTAATTCTAATTATACCTCATATTTTATGTATACCCTCTACCACTTAATATCTTCATGATCAATTAACTCATGTGATCACAAACGCAAAATCACTTGAATTTCAAAGAATAGCCTTTTTTATGATACACACTGTATACACGTGACTACATAATACATCAAATGAATGCTAATCTCCATTATCGAACTCCCAACAGTCAATAATAACAATCAACAAACCCGCTTAATATTCTTTTAACTCAATCAAGTAAAAACCGTCCTATTCTCTCGGCAACTATGATATTACAAAGTAATAGCATGGTATTACGGTCGATTAGTGATGAAATGTCCCTCAAGCCTCGAGAGGTTTAGTAAACTTTTACTAAACCTCTCTCGGCTTTTGGGTACATTTAATCACTAATCGCCCTGAATGCCATGCTATTACTTAACAATTATCCGCCGAAGGCGAGGTGATTATCGGTGAATAAATCCGAGACGAAGTCGAGGTTTTTATTCACGATAATCACCGAGCCTGAGGTGAATAATTGTTTTAGTATAATTTCATAGGTGATTATTTGGAAAAAATATAAAAAAATACATATTTCTTCGTCATTTAATTGACTAAACGGCTTCGGCCGCCAATTTGAACATCGCTTAGGTGATTATCGCGTAATAATCACCTCAACGGCAACCAATCAGCGTGGAGAATTTTCAATAATCACCTATATAATTATACTAATTATAATTATTCACCTCAGGCTCAGTGATTATCGTGAATAAAAACCTCGACTTCACGATAATCATCGAGCCTGAGGTGAATAATTGTTTTAGTATAATGTCACAGGTGCTTATTTGGAAAAAATAAAAAATACGCATTTCTTCGTCATTTAATTGACAAAACGGCTTCGGCCGCCATTTGGAAAATCGCTTGGGTGATTATCGCGTTATAATCACCTCAATGGCAACCAATCAGCGTGGAGAATCTCGATCAATAATCACTTATGTAATTACACTAATTAATGACGCAGCGAGCGACCCTGAAGCGACCAAGCAAATCAGCAGTTCTAATTCGTATTGGGCTCTGAAAGTAAAATTTTACTTCCGTTTCTCCGACCAGAATGCACTGCTGTTAACCGACCAGAATGCTTTACATGCATGATGCTATAAATACGGGGAATCTCATTAGTCAGTTTATATAAGCCGGTAACGATGCAGTTGTTTTGGTGTATTTTTGTTAAATAACTGAGGTGAAATCAACATATCAGCTATATTTAGTATACCGGCGTATTGATCGGGCAGTACTAAATGCTTTCTCCTTTATTATAGTAGATATATTAAAATTATTGCATGATTGGATTTGACGTCGTCAGGTGCAATGTGAAAACAGAAGACGCCTGCTCAGGCATTAACCCTACAGACGACAGGCAGCAAAATAAACAAACCTGTAGCTTAGGATATAATGTAGGAGATTAAAACCATACTTCAATAAACCTTATAGGCCTAATAAAGGCTTATATCAAACCATCCATATCAAACTACACAGTGCCACTTGTTCACACTAACAAACTAGCCTTTTGTACCGTCCTTAGTTTTTGTCCCTATACCTATATAGTTGAGTTAGTTGAAAACCACATTTCAACAGTCTAATCTCGAACTCTAATCTAACCTTAGTCCTTTTGCATTACAGTTTCCGGTTAGCACTTATATGAAACAGCATATTTGAAAAAATAACAAATCGCGACACATTATCAGACACTAAATCACTCATTGAAACAGTGGCGGAAATCTCAGTGGCTGGAAAATGACAAATTGTCGGAAATTTTGACCTATACGAGGGCTAAAAACAGCCTTTTCGAGTGCAATTGGGGGGGGGGTTGTCGGAAATTTGAAAATTTTGTCGGAAATTTAGAAGGCTTCGCCCCCCCCCCACCGGAAAAAGTGAATTTTCGCCACTGCATTGAAACACAGTAAATGTTTCTATCCTTTGTACAACATAAGCTATTTGGAATTAAGCAAAAATGCTGAGATGTTGCACGTGACTATATGACCCAATATATAACTCTACATGCTGTAATATAAATAATAATAAATACCACCAAAACTTACGTTTTGCTGTTGTGACATTTGGGGTTGTGATTGTAGGAGTAGTAACGCCTATTGAATAAATTCAAAATTATTCCATCAGTAATTAAGTATTCGTCAATTGAAAAGCCACAACATCACCTTAGTTACTACAACTTTTCTCAAAAAATAAATTAAGTTAAGACACATTATCCGTATGGACAAATTTGAAATTCGTCTGTCAATATGTCTTCAATATATATATATAGGTTCTGTGTTCCCAGATTCATTTGAAAATCTTTTTCATGTTTCCTTATTTTTCGGCTTTGTTCCCATTACAAAATGTGCCTTGTTCCCTAAAAACCCTTGGCAGAACCTCAGTATAAAGACGGACACAAGACACATTAGACACGGTATAGTTCGTTCTGTACCCATGTTATAGTTAATCTCGACTCATAACAACGATAGCATATTTGTTTGATAATTCCTTGGTATAAAACGTCAATACGTCGTCAAAAAGCTCGTCTAGTATAAAACGTCAATACTTGCCTTTTTTCCGTTCACATATAGATGATCGTGATTCAGAACAACTCACGTCGTTCCAGTAGCCTGTGTTGGCGTAAATTTCTCCACAGCGTTCAATTTTGTTAAAGTTATTCGGTTCCCTCCAACCCCATTTCTTATATTTCAACGCAGTTCCATCCATCCAAACCCATCCTTCGTTGGCAATTTCACCGGAAGAATTTCTGTACAGGCCTAGCCAAAACACAGTTGTCCCATATGATGGCATGAGTTGTCTTTGAAGAAACCTGCCCTCCTCCTGAGTTCCTATGGACGCCAGATCACCACCTAAAACTTGACAGTATGCACGTGCATCTTCCCACGACTTCGCTGGAACACTGCCGCTATGGTGCAAGATTCTATAACAACAATCGCTATAAGAAACCCAAGTTGGTTCACATCCTTCATTCTGCACCGGCGGAGATTCACCTAAAACGGAAAAAATATTAATATATAAATCATAGAGCAGTGGAACCAATGTAATACGGACGCGAAACGGACAGAAAATGCCTGTTTTATTTATAGAGGGGACCCCGATGACGTCACTTTTATATGTAATAATATATAATAATATATATTATATAGGGTATAATTTTATTTTATCTATTTATCAGCTAGCCGACGTCGAGCTAGAGTCTGTGGCCGTAACGCCCGTATTCTATAAAAGCTCACTCAATGAATGGAAGTTCAATCTGAGCTTCTCTCGCATATCATTGCTGTTTTTGAATAGCTGGAGGGCTAGTGCATGTCGTTCCTTACCATGTGACTATACAGCTATTTCAATTAAGGTTGTCCCCGAACAAAGCGGAAAAGTCGAATATATATACGAGCGCGAAAGGCTGCTGAGAATCGCTAATGAAATCGTTTATGCCCTGCTGTACACCATATAGAAATATCTAAGTCAATAGTTCAACCAAGTACTTCAGCACGAAACATCGGTGTAACCTTCGATCAACACATGTCCATGGATAAACATATTACCAACATTTGCAAGAACTGTTTTTCCATTTGAGAAAAATAGCAAGAATAAAAGAGTACTTATCAAAATCAGATATCCAAACCCTAGTTCATGCCTTTATTACATCGAAACTAGATAATTGCAACTCTTTGCTATACGGACTACCTAAATTTCTTATAGATCGATTACAGAATGTGCAAAACTGTGCTGCTCGTCTGGTGACAGGAAGCAGAAAATACGACCATGTTACTCCATTAATGAAACAATTACATTGGCTCCCCATCAGTCAACGCATCATCTATAAAATTGTTCTTATCACGTATAAATCTCTGAATGGCTCAGCTCCACATTACATTAATAATATGCTAAAACCTTACACACCATCAGCAAATTTACGCTCCTCATCCAAAGGATTGCTTACCATACCTAAAGTAAAACTAGTGAACTATGGTGAACGATCGTTCTCATATGCTGCACCGAAACTGTGGAACGAACTGCCAGAGTATATTAGAAAGAGTGAGACCTTGCCTATTTTTAAAACCAGATTAAAGACACATCTTTTTAAACAGTATTATGACTAAGTTATTATTTTAACAAGATTATTAGCAATTTTATAGTATTCTATATAGTTGTTGTTTTAATATTATCAACATAGATAACATAAAGTAATTTTATATTCTTAACGAGAAGAGCATATAATTATTTTTTAGTAATTTTATCTAGTATAGTAATTTTAGTAGTCAATGCATGCACTATGTTCTAACACTTAGTATATATTTTTAACACTTGATGTTAAGCGCTATTGAGCTAGGGGAAATGGCGCTATATAAATGAATTATAATAATAATAATAATAATAATTTATTAGCGATTCCCAGCAGCCTTTCGCGCTCGTATTCGACTTTTCCGCTTTGCTCGGGGGACAACCTTAATTGAAATAGCTGTATATACTCACCCTCCAGCTATTCAAAAACAGCATTTACACTCAAGAGAAGCAAAGATTAAACCTCCACTGAGCTTCTAGAATACAGGCGTATGTATCAGGTTGTGCCGAAACGTCTGAGAATTTTCACATGCACGAAGGGAATTGTCAACAGTTTCAATAAGTAACAGACGAAATGATCACGAATACCGTTTTGGCTTTTTGTAGCGAGTGTCTTGTGGGAATAGAAGTCGTTGTGTATATATATATATATATATTGTACTATTACAATTGTACTATTACGATTGTACTATTACGCTCCTTTACTTCGGTGTTGTTGAGCACTCTGCGGAGTTGTTAATGGATGTCTATTAGCGATAATGCAACGCTCACTTCCCTTGTGGTCGTTTGAGCACTCTGGCTCCATTACGCTCTGCGCATGTCTGGATGCGTTGAGTCACCGTGTTGTACCACATGCCTTGGTGAGAGCAAGTTCATGGGGTATAAATACGAGTGTCTCACGTATCTAGACGTGTACCAAGCTGCACTGACGAGGCGCTGAACGCCGAAACATGCATGTCTGCAGATTGTACTATATATATATATATATATATATATATATATATATATATATATATATATATATATATATATATATATATATATATATATATATATATAATATAGCCATTCACCGTATATGAGCTGTTCTGCAATCTGATTGGTTACTCGCCGTATATCAGCTCATATACGGCGAGTAGTGAAAAACAAGATGGCGGTCCAAAAACTACATGAGTTTTGCGAAGCAGAAAAAAGGAAAATATTCGCTTTGAGAAAGATAATAGTAGCCTACAAGGAAAAACTCTCAAAAAAATTTGACAGGTTAGCAAAATACATTTATTACAAAGAAATTAGTTTAAATACAAGTTTTTTTAAAGAATTAATACCGAAACAACATCGAAAAAACATGTTCATTGAGAATATAAATTGTTCAGAAAAGTTTGCAAAGAAAGACAAATGAATTTGCAGTCAACAAGCATTTACTATACTACCAAACATCTGTATAATATATCTGAGCTTTTCTGTGAGATATACCGGTTCTAAAACCATTTCTTTCACTTCGTCTTCGAGTTGTAAAACAAAAGTATTTCAAATTTTCAAGTCCAAGCGGTTTTTGGCCGAACAAATTGTCAAGACATTGTAACAGAGGATAATTAATTATTGCTTCAGTTAATGGCTATTAGACTATATTATAAAACAATTATACCATTCGCTCATGGTATAATTGTTAAGTATATATTTCCCGGCCTTTTCTACTATCAACCTCGCAAGCCAGGGTCTTTTACCTACGCTCGGGCTCCGGCGAAGACCCTGGTTCCCTCTGGTCACGTGAACCCCCAGATTTTAGGGGTAATTCGAATTGCCGCCTCTTTGCCACTTAGGGAGGAGTGGTAGGGGGAATTCAAGAGCGAAAACGAAAAAACTATAACTATGCCTATGGAAAATACGGCCATTTACGCTCTGTATTAACCATTAACCCATATTTTGGGTTTTGTCGGTTTTTGTGTTATCTTTTATGAAATATGTCACCGCTTGAAAGCTTTTTACACCTACTTGATATAATTTGCATGACTGGAGGTCTGTTTTACACCTTGAAGTGTAGCCATTATTTATCAACGCAAAGAAAATAAAAGTCGAATGCACACTTATACAAAGTCAAAGTACAGTATTCAGTAGCTCTCAACTCTATGGCACAGCGAAAGGAAACTCCAAAGATGATTTATCCGAAGTCCGCGCGCGCTTTGTTTTCGGAATGCAAGTGTCACCTTTGTGGTATAGTATTATCGACAAGAAGTATTACAACCGAACCTATTCTTAGAGGTAGCTGAATAGCGAAATAAAAACCTGCTTCGTATCGCAGAATTTGTGAATTGTGAAACTCTTGTGTGTGATGATCAATGACGGATTTTCTAATCTAGCTTCCTAAATTAACATTAAATTAAAATAATGGCGGCCAAAAAAAACACCCAAGACAGTGAAGTCAATCGAATGTTTATTTAATATTAAAGTACAGCGACTGGAGGGATATCTGCAGAAATGATTTGAAACAACTTCGACACAGCTGTAGGAGTTAAGTCATCCTCTCACAAGCACAAATCGTCAGAGAAAATGTTATTTTATCTCATCTCATGGAATTGAAACCATTTGCAATCAACAATATATGATCACTTTCATGAAGGTTTCTTCGCAGATATATCATCAGATACATTACTCATTAGCAACATTATAGACACATTGTCGCTGCATATGACTATAGCTAAACAAACGCAAGAGGAACATTCACCAAGCACTTACCAGTGAACACATCAGAAGATAAAGAGGAATTATTATAAGCAACAATGATTTGTATGGCTGTAGCACAGGCTGCCAAGACTATACATATACCCTAGCTTGAAAGGATTAACAGATGCACATGCAATTTACACTTGTTCTATATT